CACGCATGGGCCGGCCCTAATTTATGAGGCTGCGACGAGAAGCACCTCTGTCGATGCCCAAAGTCGAAATTTGCTAAAGTCGAGTCCCTCCCTGAAGGCTGACTAGGACAACATTTCGGCAGTCCGTTAAGCACCTCCCATTTTGCCTTTTTATCGAGGAGGATTTCCATTTTGTTCGCTATCGGACCCAAGAAACAAGTATTGGATTGCTTTAAAAATTTCACTGGGCTTTCCGGACTAGCTCAGTTGAACAGGCGAAAGCTTTGAACATTGCCTTAAGACGCTGAAAGCCGAAATCTGAAACACCCTTATCATCCTTTATTTTGCTTAACTCGACTCCACAATCTCATCTGCTGTCATTTCACATGCTATCGGCATTTTAGAACTCCAATAGAATAAAAGTTAAATATAATGAAATCTTACAATTTCATATTACTATCTGGTTAAAATCCTTATACAACATCTAGGACCAAGTATATCGGGGAATGAAATTGCGTCACCACCACCAATACTGCCAATACTATAACAATGATTATTATTTCCAAAATTACTACTACTACTACTACTACTACTACGACGATGACGATTACGACTACTATTAATACTAACATTACTACATAATTTCACTGCTACAAGTTGTTGTACTAGCCGTAATTATTGTTGCTTTATCCATAAGAGCAAGAGATAATAATGAAACTACCTACGTAGAAAAATGCAGATATTTATGACTGTATATCTTTCGGTATCACCGTTTACTTAAGAATTGTCCTATTACTATGAAGCTTCTTCGGGTTCTTCCTTATAACAAGGCACTATTCTTAGATACGAAGAGTAACTATGTTTCGATTAATCTCTTGTGATAACACCCATAATCACCAAGTATTCTCAGAACCAGAAACGAGCAACATTATGTTTATGCCAAACACAGGTTAGAAAAGGTATCTCTTGTATCATTTAGTTAAAGCAAAAATAAGGTAAGGAGACTCACCACTGCGCAACAGCTCCTCATCGACCGGCTGTCGGACTGCGGTGATATCGTGCAGCAAGATCAGATATAACGGGGCTTCGCCATCCGCGTTCCATATTGGCGCGACATAGATCACAAGCCACAGCATTGATCCTGATTCAGGGAGAAAGATGGGTTGGCAAACAAGAAGCATCAGCGCATGCAGTTTCTCCACTAAATCACCATCAGATGGAAACTAGGATATCGGATGTAAAGTTGAAATAAGAGTTTCCAATAAGTGTGTATGCATCAAGGATTAATTAAACGAGGCCTTTACCCTCTGGAGAGTCATATATTTCCCTTAACTCGATAATTCTGAACCCAGGACAAATATAGCGACACTGTGAATTCGGCTCGACCAACACAACCGAGATTTACGTCTGCTTGGGAGAACTAGTGGAAACCAGATGTGACCAAGTCTGCGAACTAGTAAGGATGTCAACGCACTTGTGTAAAGTAAAATTTGTTTAATGTCTTTTGAAAAATCTAACCCTTTTGTCAATTC